AAATGTTCAAAACGCGCCAAAATCTTCAAAAACCATTTGGGCTTGCTGAACACGCACCAAAATCTTCAAAACGCTGCAAAAAACTGCTAACAATATTTGAATTGGCTGAAAACGCATCACAATGTTCAAAATGGTCCAAAGTCTGCAAAAACCATACGAATTTATGGAAAACGCACCAACATCTTCAAAACGTAGAAAATCTTCAAAAAACCATTTGAAGTTGCTGAAAACGCTACAAAATCTTCAAACATCATCTGGATTTGCTGAAACCGCATCAAAATGTTCAAAACGCGCCAAAGTCTTCAAACTCCATATGAATTTACTGAGAACGCACCAAAATCTTCAAAACGTAGAAAATCTTCAAAATTCATCTGAAGTTGCTGAACACGCTACACAATCTTCTAACATCATTTGAATTTGCAGCGAACGCATCAAAATGTTCAAAACGCGCCAAACTCTTCAAAAACCATGTGAATTTGCTGAACACGCACCAAAATCTTCAAAACGTAGAAAACCTGCTAACATAATTTGAATGTGCTACTAACGCATCAAAATGTTCGAAACGCGCAAGTGTCGTCAAACATCAGCTGCATTAGCTAAAAACGCACCAAAACTTTCAAAACGCATCAAAATCTTCAACAATCTTTTGAATCTGTTCAAAAACGAACAAACAAAACAAAATCGCCCAAAATCATTGCCACGAGCCACGTTGCACACGACGCCACAAGAAGGCAGGAGCAACGCATAGGGCTCATAGGGCTCATAGGGCTCATTGTGCTCAGAGGGCTCATAGGGCTCATGGGACTCTCAGGGCTGATAGGGATCATCGGGCTCGTGGGGCTCAAGGGACTCATAGGGCTCATAGTCCTCATGGGGCTCATGGGGCTCATAGGGCTCGTAGGGTTCATAGGGCTCAAAGGGCTCATAGGGCTCATAAGGCTCATAGGGCACATAGGGCTCATAAGGCTCATAGGGCTCATAAGGCTCATCGGGCTCATAGGGCTTTAAAGGGTCGTGGGGCTCATAGGGCTCGTCGGGCTCATAGGGCTCAAAGGGCTCATAAGGCGCATGGAGCTCATCGGGCTCATAGGGCTCGTAGGGCTCATAGGGCTCATAGGGCTGATAGGGCTCACAGGGCCCATAGGGCTCAAAAGGGCTCATAGGGCTCATAGGGCTCATAAGGCTCGTAGGGTTCATAGGGCTCAAAGGGCTCATAGGGCTTATAGGGATCATAGGGCTCATAAGGCTCATCGGGCTCATCGGGCTCATAGGGCTCATAGGGCTCAGAGGGCTCATAGGGCTCGTAGGGCTCATTGGGCCCATAGGGCTCGTAGGGCTCATGCGGCTCTAAGGCTCATAGGGCTCACAGGGCTCAGAGGGCTCAGAGGGCTCAGAGAGCTCGGAGGGCTCAGAGGGCTCAGAGGGCTCATCGGGCTCATAGGGCCCATAGGGCTCATAGGGCTCATGGGACTCATAGGGCCCATATGATTCATAGGGCTCATAGGGCTCACAGGGCTCATAGGGCCCATCGGGCTCATAAGGCTCATAGGGCTCATCGGGCTCCTGGGGCTCATAATGCTCATAGGGCTCACATGGCTCACATGGCTCATAGGGCTCATAGGGCTCATGGGGCTCATCGGGCTCATCGGGGTCATCGGGCTCATCGGGCTCATAAGGCTCAGAGGGCTCATAGGGCCCATGTGGCTCATAGGGCTCATAGGGCTCATAGGGCTCATAGGGCGCATAGGGCTCATTGTGCTCATAAGGGCTCATAAGGGGCCCATAGGGCTCATAGGGCTCATAGGGCTCATAAGGGTTCATAAGGGCTCATAGGCCTCATATGGCTCATAGGGCTTAGAGGGCTCGTAGGGCACATAAAGCACATGGGGCCCATAGGACTCATCAGGGGCTCACATGGCAAACGAGGCCACAATAAGGCAAGAGTGCCGGGGGAGGGGGCGGGAAGGGAGGGGGGGATGGTGGGGGAAGGAAACCGCGTATTTCATGTGGGCGAGGCGGGCGGGGCACGGGAACGCGGTAACTCGAACAATACGGATGAGGGGGGAAGAGGTGGAGGAGGAGACGGATGAGGAGAGGAAAAAGGAGAAGGAATATGATGACACTGATGGGGGGGCAGGAAGGGGAAGAGAAGGAGGAGGAGGAGGAGGGGGAGGAGGGGGGGGGAGGAGGAGGAAGAGGAGGAGGAGGAGGCGGAGGAGGAGGAGGATGAGGAGGAAGGCTGACAGCGGACGCCTCGCGACGCCACAAGGCTTGAAAAATTGGCCATGCTGAGCCGCCAGGATACGTAGCCCTGGAGACCAAGCCGACCGGGCTCCCCGGGGTCCCCTGGGAGCGTTACTATGCCGAGGCGCCCTTTACAACAGGGAACTGGCACTCCTCCGCAAAGCCTCTTAGCGGGGCTTGCCCGAAGAACTGGGGCTTGCCCGAAGAACCCGCGAACTTTGCTGAAACACAGGCACAAACCGTGGTGGAATGTTAGGGCATGCGAGGGGTGGGCCCAACCTCCAGCGAAATGAAGACGACAACCCCTCCTAACTGGACTCTGGACAAATTGCGTCAAGGAAGTAGTGGTGGCCGAACCCTTACAGCGCGCACATCTTCTTCCCGATTCGTCCAGGACATGGCCAGTCGCGAAGCGAACAAGAATACTCGGCGCAGGAGGACGCGGAGGAGGAAGAGGAACTGCATCATGACCACCGTCGCCACTCTGCCGCGCTCTCTCCTGCGCGGCAGCCTTCTTCCGTTCCTGCTCCGATCGAATGTTGAGCAGAGCAACTCGTAGCAGCCTGTGTCGCACCAGCATAGCCTTGCGCTCCGCTTGGACCAGCTCGGCCCTCCCGTGCGCGGCCACACGGACCTGTGCTGCAGCCTTGCCTGCAAGCAGATCCACTGCAACATTGCCTTCGACCAGCCAGCTCGGTAATCTTCGCCTGCGTACCTCTTGCGCCTCCAAGTGCGATGGCACCTGAAGCACCGTGATGTCCGTTGCCGCTCTGCCCTGCTCATCTAAACTCCGCTTGATATGTTTCCATATTCCACATTCTGACCGCTCGGTCGCCGATGCAGTTGGGCCCACCATCCGCGGGCCACCTCTACGCAGTCCGTGGCATACGCCAACTTCCCAAATGGCCATCTCACGGCCAACTCAAGCGCTGCGTGCTCACCTGGTAACCCACCGAGTACACATGCCCCGATAGTAAATGGACGGAAGGAGGACACCATGCAGATCGCCAAGCCTACCCGTCGTAGTCTCGGGTCGTGGGTGTCCTCCCGCCTTGAGACGTCGCCAAGACAATGCAATGGTTGCTCTCCGGTGTCATGTCCGATGCATCCACTGGCGAGCCGATCACACTGCAGGCGAACACAACTCCAGTCTTCGCAGTCCTGGGGTGGCGAAAATCGTGTCCACTGCGATGGCAATGAACCCCTGTTCCAGAAGCACGCAAATGCCTCTTGACATGCAACAGCCTCGGGCACAAAATGTTCTGATTATTAAATCGCGTTACCTCCTTCATTGCATCTGCAAAGCAAATTCCTGTGGATGTCTGAGTCGGGAGCCGAAAAACACCTCTCACAAGTACTGGTCTCGCGAGGAGGAGGAGGAGAGGAGAAGGACGAGGAGGAGGAGGAAAAGGAGGATCCACATCAGCAGCAGGAGCGGTGGGCAGAAGCGGGTGGAGGGCGCGCTGCTGGTGCGCGGCGGAAGCCGGCAGCTCTTCAGGGACGGGGGCGGCGGGGTGCCCAGATCTCCGCCGCCGTGGGCTTTTTTCCACTATGTGCGTCCTGCTGCCCAGCGCGGCGCTGCGTGGGACCAAGCTGTGACGCATTTCCCCTGCATGTTTATCCAAGGCGCCAGAGGCTTGGGCATGAGAGGGGTGCGGACGAGGGGTGCGGACGAGGGGTGCGGACGAGGCAACTGCAAAAACATACGTTCAGTCCGCGCGCGACTGGGGGGAGAGGGTGGAAAAGGCGGACGAGGCCCCCAGGAAACCAGAACACGAATTTGCATCTCGAGCCTTAAGATGACCCCCGGGACCGCCTGGAGGCCCCTTAGAGACCCAAAAATGCCCCCAAGAGCCAAATGGCCCCAAAAGGTTTAGAGCTGACTGTATGAGCACGCACGAAGCCCCTTGCCCTCGCAGCTAGACACATTGGCGGATTGGACCTGAGGCCGCAGTGTCTGTGTGTGTGTGTGTGTGTGTGTGTGTGTGTGTGCGTGCGGTTTTGGTTTGCGTTTGAGTGTGTATAGGTGCGTGCGTCCGCGTGTGTGTGAGTGTGCGTGCGTGCGTGCGTGCGTGGGTGTGTGTGCGAATGCGCGCGTGCGTGCGCGTGCGTGTGCGCGCGCGGGCGTGGGATTGCGAGTGTGCGTGTGCGCGTGCGTGTGCGTGCGTGTGTGCGTGTGTACGTGCGCGCGTGTGTGCGTGTGTGCGCGTATGCGTATGTGTGCGTGCGCGTGTGCCTGCGTGCATGCGCGTGTCCGTGCGTGCGTGTGTGCTTGTGTGTGTGTGTGTGCGTGTGCACGTGCGTCTGCGTGTGCGTATGGGTGTTTGTGTTTGTGTGTGCGTGTGAGTGTGCGAGTGCGAGTGCGAGTGCGTGTGTGCGTGTGTGTGTGTGTGTTTGTGTGTGTGTGTGCGCGTGCGTGCGTGCGTGTGTAAACGTCTGTGTGTATGTATGCGTGCGTGTGTGCGTGCGTGCGTTCGTGCGCGCGGGCAGTGCGCGCGTGCGCGCGTGCGTGCGCGTGCAAGCGCGGGCCCCGCGCGGGAAGTTGCTGCGCTGCGGGTGTGCAAGGTGCGCGGTGGAATGCACGCGGCACACGACGCGCGGTCCTAGTTGTGCCGCGCAAGCTATCTGGCGCAAGCTTTTTGCGGTTTCACGCAAACCACGCACCCCGCCTCAACGCGCGAAGGCGCGCGGTTCATATGCCCCCGCGGGATCTTATGTAGTCAGCCGAGCAAGTAGCCAACTCTCGCATATCACACGGCCCTCTTGGCCGCCCGGGCCGCGCGAGCCCTAGCCGGCAGGGCGGGCCGGCGCTCCTCCCGCGGCCGCGCGCGCTCCTCCCGCCCGCGCCCCAGCTCGCCCTCCAGCTTGTGCAACATCTGTTCCCGCCAGCGCCTGGCGATGAACTCCGCCGCCCGTCGCCGATCGCCCGCGCGCGGCGGAGGCCGCGGGCGTCGCCGCGAGGGCCCATGCACGCGGCCCCCGCAAGACCACGGCAACGGCAACATGCCCTTGTCGACGCACTCCTCCTCGCCGCCCGTCTCGCCCGCGCGCGTGCCGCCGCCCTCGGAGGAGCCGCGCTCGTCGTCCTCCGGGTCCGCGGCCTCCGCTTCGAGGGGCACCTCAACGCCCTCTCGCGGCCCCTCGACCAGCGGCGGCAGCGTCGCGCCGTCCCACAAAAGCTCGACGACGTCCCCATGGAGCTCCGGGCTTCTACCTTTGGCCTCTTGCTGCGTGCCCGGCGTCTCCGCCCGCGCGCCCTGGGCCGCCGCTTCACCGTGAACTTCGCCATCGACCTTCGCGGCCACCCAGTTGACGTTGCTGCCCAACAGCTCCTCGAAGCCTTCCCACCAGCGCGCGCCCGTCGCCAGCGACCGGACTTCTCGCGATCTAGCTGCCTCTGCTCCTCCCCGGCCCTCGCCGCGGCACCCGCCAGCGGCGCGCCGTCGCCGACGTCGCCTGTCGCCGCCGCGCCCGCTGCCGCCGCGCGCGGCCCGATGCCGCCCTCGCCATCGACCTCGAACGGGGGCTCGTCCTCGCCCGCATCTCCCCCGCCCCCCAGGGCGGCGAATCGGCCGAGGCGCTGGCTGCGCCCTTCGCGGGGCCGCATGGGCGGCGCCTTGGCGAAGCGCCTCGGCACTCGCCAAACTCCCGACGCCTGATGGGCAGCCTTGGCCTCAGCCCCGCCGCCCGCCAGCTCGCCGAGCAGGACCTGCGCGCCCCCCCGCATCTCGCGCACGGGGCTCGCACGGCTGGGGCCCCCGCCGTCGGGCCCCGCAGCCGCCGGCCGCGCGAGGGCCAGGGGCCCCCGCCGTCGACGCGCCCCAGCCGCCACGGCCGCCGCGCTCACCCATCCGGGCGCGCTCGCGGCTGGCACCCTGCAAGCCTGCGCCCGCCGGCGCAGAGCCTCTGAGCACCGCCGGCCGGGCCGCTCAGCGGGCCGCTCTGCAGCTGCACCAACGCCCCCCAGCGGGCAGCGCCAGGCCGCCAGCAAGGAGGGGCATCGGAGACGGAGGGGGGGGGAGGGGGGACCCTCGCGCCCGCGCGCCCGCCCGCCGCGCGCGCGCCCCCCCCCCCGCCCCAGGCCCGACGCGCGAGGGCGGCGCCACTGAGCCAGACAGGCTATAGGGCTCTCGCCCCCTTTCGACCCCGAGCGGTGCGCAAGTGGGGATTGAACCCAAATTGCTTGAAACAAAATGGCAACGGAGCCATGCGGTGAAAGCTACGCGGTGCGCGCGGTTGCGCTATGCGATGCACGCCGCGCGGTGCACATTGCATTGTCTCATCCGCCACCGTGCCCTTGGCGCAACAAGGGGCGCCCCAAGGTTCGCGGCTGCGTTGCTGCTGCGTCCAGGATCCGATAGACATTCATAAGAGCTCGGACATCCAATTTCCCGAGTACCCCCGGGAATGCCCAGGGGATCCCGGGAGCTCCCGGGGCGCGTCACGCGCCATTTCTGGAAGCCAGGAGGGCCCCGAGACGGGGCCAACGGGGCCGAGGAGGCCACGAAGACAGCAGAATAATGCCTCGGGTCGCCCCGAGACCGCGCCTAGATCCTCATGATAGCCCAAACCAAAATCATGAAGGCACCCAGGAAGCTCCAATGGGGGCACAAAGAACACCCCCTAGATGCCAATAGGCCCCCGATACGGCCCGAGAGGCACAATAGCCAAAGAGGGGGGCCACGAACGGGCATTTCGAACCCTCAGCGCCGAAAGGGCCCAATGTCAGACCCTCGATCCCAAGCGTCGAAATCGATTGGATCACCGGGCGGCATCGCAGGTCACTGCGGGGGAGAGGAGATAGGGGGCGACATCTCTCAGTAAACTAAACAGAACAGCACGCCCACATTCACGGGCCCAGAAAGCCTAGCAGGCCACGGAAAGCGAGTGCGGAGGTGAAGATCCGCTGCGAGAACCATTCCAGACAAGCCTGCCTAGACTCCCCAGGGGCAGCGGGTCTACACAATGCGAATCTAAGCCGGGAGGAGGCGAGAGAGGCCCAGCCTGGTTCAGGCGTGCGAGTCGTGGAACCACGCGCGTTCCTTTCCTCCCTGATTCGGGGCGGTCTCTGTCTCCCTCCCTTTTTCTCTCTCTCTCTCTCTCTCTCTCTCTCTCTCTCTCTCTCTCTCTCTCTCTAGTCTCGGCTCGAGAGTGCTCCGCACTCAGACCGCAGCCACGACGCGAAGCGCCCCGCCTCGGAGTCAGACTCCCAGGCCTCGCGAGACCGGAAGGGTCCCAGCAGGACCCTACTGATTCGCGTCACCTCTCCGCACCAGAGTGCCCGCAGCAATGGCCCCCAAGAAGCCGGAGCGCCGTCGCTCTTCAAAGCTGCCTCCGAGCTCCCGCCCCACGCGCCCTGCTGCTGAAGGGTCCCTCCTTCAACGCAAGCAAGACTGCATCGCAGCGTTCAGGCAAGCGGGGTCTGACCGCCCCACGGCCGCCTATAACGGGCTAGCCGAACTGAACGCGGACGAGCTCCAGGCAAAGTACGACATGCACAAGTCCAACACGAAGAAGCTTGGCAGCGCCCTTATCCGCATGTGCGCCGCCAACCAGATCAGCTACACGCTCGACCACTACCAGCGCAGCAAGCCTAAGCGCACTGGCGGTGACACATCGCACCCACCATCGGGCTCCGCACGTCTTCAGGCTGCGGACACCCAATTCATTGCCTTGGACCCTGCCTTTTGGAAGGTCCCTGTTCTTGCCGAACCCACCTCGCCTGACGACGGCAAGACGTACAAGCCCAGCATCAGCCTCCACGACTTCGAGAGTGGCGAACGGCTGCTGCAACACCACCTCGGGCAGGGCAAGCGAGCCACGGGCCAGCTCGCGATTGCTGTCATGGGCCCGAAAAACGACAACTACGTCGGTACCGAGCTCGCCGTCCCCGTCCTGAAGCGCCACCCCAAGGCGCCCAAAGTGGTCCACACGCACGTCCCCGTGATCGTGTACCAGCTGGGCACCAAGGAGGTCGCCTGCACGGAAAAGGTAGCCGTCGCCACCATCGACCCCGCCGACCACGTCTGCTGGATTCGGGCGACCATACACGAGACCGAGGCCATTGCCGCAGTCCCCTCCATGCACCAGGCCTTCGAGGACCAGTTCTCGGGAGGTGCCCCCGTGAATGGTGGTCCACGCGCCAAGGGCCCTTTTCGAGGCGACTCCGCTCCACAGGACAAGGCGCGCCAAAAGCACAAGGAGTCCAAGAAAGACGCTCGCCGCCAGGAGCTCGACGGCCAGCTCCAGGACACCTTCAAGGCCCTCTTCCACGGCAACTTTAAAGCCGTCACCATCCTCGAACCCTGCAAAAGCCTAGGCAGGTTTGGATCGGGCGTCGGAAAGAGGTCCCTGGCTGCCACCTTCGGCGTCAGTCTCCAAGCGGTCGACAAGGTCCTGGCGGGATCAGGGCAACTCGGTGCCACCTACGACCTCAGCAACGTAGGTGCAGACGAGCCCACCGCCGACAAGTATCAGACCGTGTGGTTCCCTGAGGACCAGCCCATCACGATGGCAGACGCGTTCCAGAAGTCGGTGGAGCTCAAGGCCCTGGGAGTCGTCAGGCACGGCAAGTCAGGCCTGCTGGGGATCCGTGTTCCGCGGGGGTCTGACGTCGCCAAGGCCGCCGCTGTCAGCATCCGCGGCTGCGAGGCCACCCTCGCCAAGACGCGCTACCGCATCACTGGCATTGCGTCACGCCACGCCACGCTGACCCAGCTCGCCAAGACTCTCACGGGCCCGTCCGTCAAATGGGACTGCGAGGTCTACCACGCCGCCTGGGACCCAGCCACTGCGGCCCAGTTTGCCCTAGTGCGCGCCCATCGGCCCCCACTCACCTATACGGTGCAGGTCGCGGGGTGCTCCATCCCGTGGAGCATCGCCGAGGCCCCGCTGGCTGAGGTGGCGCCGAAGCGGGACAACGTTACCATCGTCACGCCTACCACCATCACAGAGCCTGCGACGCCGCCAGCCGGTGGTGGCGGCTTCAGCCCCGCCACCGGCACACTCCTCACCAAAGCGGCCCAGAGCCCCTACCTCCACGACCTCATGACTGCCACGCCCAAAGGCAAGGGCGTCGCACCGCTCCTGACCCCCAAGGAGGAGCCTTTAGCCAAGCGCCACCGCTCCCTCCAGCGGGAAACGTGACGCCACGCCGCCCGCAAGGCCACCCCGCGCCCCAGGCCGCAGCTCTTCTGCGCCCCCTCACGGCACGGACGGAGCCGCTGAACCGACGGCCGCCCCAGGACCAGGTGGCCACGACCCCTGGCTTGGCACGGCCGCGGCGGAAGGAGGGGGCCACACCGAAGGCGCCGCTGCCACAGCCGCCGAAGTACCAGGTGACGTCGTTGACGTCGAGATCCTCTCATCAGGCGATGAATACAGCGAGGCCTCCCACGAACTCAACACCTTCGGCGAGCGCTTCGCATCGGCCTCTAAACCGCCCGATGCTGCCACGACCCGCATCCAGCACATGGAACAGCAGCACGAGCTACTAGCCACCACGGTGGATAACATGCAGATGCAGCTTGCGGGCGTTCTCTCCTCCCAGGCCACACTCACGGAGCACGTTTCAGGGCTGGAACGGGGGCTTGCCACCGTCGTCACCCAGCAACAGACGGCAACCGCCGACGCCGCTGCACTGCGCGGCGACATCCAGACCCTCCTCGGGCACCTCACGGGAGGCACCATCCACCTGCCACAAGCGGCCACTCTGGAAGTTAAGAAGGAGGAAGCCGCAGCGGCCGCCGAGCCCGCGGCAGCCTGCAGTGCGACCGACCAGCCAGGCCAGGCCACCCCAGGGACGGGGCCCCCAGGGGCCGACAAAGGCAAGGACAAGGGTCGGGCCACCCAGGACCCGTATTGAAGGTGCCTCAGAGAGCCCGCCTCAGCCCTCCGAGGAAGCGCCTTCAGAGGCACCGCTCCCCTCTTCGCGTCGTATCTCTTTCTTGTTACCTCATGTCTGTTTTGGCAGCAGCACGCGCAAGCTCTCTGGTGTAGGGACACCCGTAGTCTTGCAGGGGGCGTGATTGTAGCGATGTACATGAGCATTCAGGGGTGTATGAGGACGTGTGCTGCCACGCAGCTTTCGGCTCATCGCTCGCGCCGCCCGCCAGGCCTCGCCATCATGCGGCGCCTCGCCTGCGGCCTGGCCCTCCCCTCGCTGGCTGGAGCACACCCGTCTTCAGGCGGTGCGCCCCAGCACGGAGGAGAGGCTTTCCTGCGACATGCGGAGCGTAGGACGTACTTCTACCTTTACGATGACAGCATCTACAAATACGATCACAGCGCCATTTTGGACCCGATCGTGAACAGCACCGCCGCCGCTGGTCCGTGCGGCACCGGGCTGCTGGGCGCCCCCGCGAGCGCCTGGCCTGAGCAGCACCAGGGGCCCTGCCCCACGCGCTGCCCCCCTGGGACTTCGACGGCTACTACTATGCCTACGCCGAGTACCAGCACGTCTCCTACGAGCACGCCCTCGTCAACTACGACACATGCATCGCAGTCGACCGCCGATTTTGCCGCAGCTGAGCTGACTCCTGCGTCCTCCGGCCACGCCTCGCACCGCATGCAAGTTCAGCTACGAGGGCTACCATCACTCAATACGACGCCTGCGGTCGACCGTCGTACAGCATATCCTCGATGGCACCCTGTCATCAGCTTGTCCACGACCGTCGTGCAGCATATCCTCGACAGGGCCGCTAGCAAGGCCCAGGCACGCAGTGGCGGCTTCAGCCCCGCTGCAGTGCCCTGGCTGCCACCGCCCCCGCATGAGGCAACGCACGCCGCGCACGACCACCTGCGAGAGTTACCACCGACCACGGCGCCTGCCGCCGTACGTCGCACCGTGTACCCTCCAGAGTGTCGCACCCCCACAGCGTGCCG